AAAAAAAAAAAAAAAAAAAAAAAAAAAAAGGCTACTGAATGGACATCAGCTCTCTCTGAGCAAACAATTGCTGTGAGCAAAAATATTAATTACTGTCCTATAGATACATAATTCTTTATTCTCCTTTTTTAATTTAAATATTTTAAAACCTACTACAAATATGAAAAATATTTCTCTGGTGAAAAATGAGGGAAATAATAAATTATTTCTCCATTATCACATATTCTATTGGTTTCCTAGGGTTTTTCCCAGTGAATTGCAAAGTTTTGGAACTTTATTCATTTTCATTAACAGAAGGTTATTTTTCTTTTGGAACCAGCCATTGAATGCACAGTTATTCTTCCAGGCTTGTGCTTGCATGCTGTCCAGGTTAGTATTGTCTATTACGGCTTGATTTACCCACTGAACAAGGTTTGCCACTGGATGCCTGCTATACAAGCCAGATTATGGGCTGCCTGTTGGTCATCCCAACAGGGATTAAAGGCTGAACTAGGCGAAAAGAAGAAAAGTCAAGTTTTCTTTCCCCCATCAGGAGACTACTGGTCTAGAGCAAGTCTTGGAACCACTGTTCAAGCACTCGATGAAAATTATGCACTTCTTGAATTTACTGTAGCAGAGTTAGTAACAGCTGCTGGGCATTCAAAATCCTCAGTCAACTCGGAGATTTTTAAAACTGCTGTTTTAGCCTTAATGCTCTGTGCTCTCAGTTATGAGATGTGGAAATCTGGATGTTCACCAACTTGATGACATGTCTCATAAGCAATGACGCCATGAGTCACTGAAATAGGGACAAGAAATCCGAGCTTCAGAAATGATGCTCCATCTTTAACTCGCACAGCAAACACGCAAAACCCAACCTATTGAGCAGCAGATCTGCTCCAGGTGATGTCTATGCAGGTTCTGTTTCCTGTTTAGTTTTACTTAGATTAAACGAGCTCTTTAGATTTTGCTAAACTGTTTTGTTTTTTTTGCACATCTAAAGTATTTTCAGTCTTCCAGAGATCACACAGGAAGCTTGTGCTGCATAAGTTTAAGCAGTATGCAAAGCTGCCATCCTTTTATAGAATTTTGTCACTACTGACATACTGTCAAATGGATGCGAAGGCAATCAGACGGAGTATGCAACTTGACTTGAAATGTTAGGTGTACAGTGAAAGACATTTTCATGAAAAATGTCACGTCCCCGGTAATCTAGGTTTTGGGCAAGGTAACATAGGCAAGTTCTTCTGCAGTATTTTAAAGGTTTGCTGATGGTTTCTTCACATTTTACTGTTGAAGTTTCTGTTGTCCACACTTCACAAATATTTTGGAGTTGTGAAAATGTTATTGATGGGTTTATCTGAGAAAAATCTTCAGATCTACACGGCTACAATTTTTCAGTTAAAATGTATCCCATATGACAAAGTTGAAACAGATACTGTTTTTATAAGAGCTAGCAATTAATTAGTGCTGCTGCAGGTTCTTGAAGCGCTCGCTAGCTATTGTTAGTTTGCAGGAAAGCACAGCATTGCTTTCTCACCTTCTCACACCGTTCATACACAACATCCACTTTTTTAATTCCAAAAGTCCATCTTTGCAGTGCAGCCCTAAAATGCGGTGCCTGCAGAGAAATGATATTTTAGTTTAGAAGGGTGAAGACCAACTGTCACGTTGTTCAATTCCCTCTGCTGTCTGTACATGTGTGTTACTTCTTGGCATACGTAGTAAGCGTTTGGGAACAAGGACGGGCTTGGTTCTGCCTTTGTGTGGCCTTTAACACGGTTGGATCTTTGGCTATGAAATGGAGGTTGTAGAAATTTCTATAGAATCAATAATAATGTAAAGATCACCGTGTAGCCTAATGACTCTGCCATTCCTTCAGTGATGCTATGTTCCCACTTTTTCTTTCTGGTCTTCTTGAGTCCCTGAAGGTCTTGCTTCCCATATGCTTCAGTAAGTGCATGATGTACTAAAGCTGTTCTCTACAGGAACTTTCTTGCTTTTTTTTTTTTTTTTTTTTTTTTTTTTTT